AAGATTGCCGACTACAGCATAATGCTGTCTGAAGTGCTGTCTGTACAAAAACACCATGGTAGGCATGGAACAAGCAGCTGGCGGGGCACAAAGCTGCTGTCTGAAGTGCTGTCAGAATGTGTCTGCGGCCGTACAGTGAAGAAGAACAACCAACCCAAGCCNATCCTCAAACGGCTTGTTTATCGGTTCAAAGGTGGTGCGAACACACACACACACACACACACACATGGACATCAATTTGAGAACAGTAATTAATTCAGGGGTCGGGCTGACAGGCGGTGTTATTCAACGTGCGCAGAACCCAGGCGGGGAAACAAAAGGACCCATCTAAAACAGTTTTTTTGCGAAAAAAAAACTCCGCTATCGCTCCGTTTTTTTTTTCGCACGCGCGCTTCGCGCGCGGAAAAAACTCCTACAACTACATATATACAGTGGTAGGAGCATGTCGAGATGATGATACATAGTCTACTACTAGAACTTTATGCATAGACGGAACGAGGGTTCGAGAGCGGGCCAACTGCCATGGTTCTGCTACTGATAACCGAAGAGCTCTTTTACCCCCGTCCTTCTCGTCGAAAAATATCTGCGGACTGCAGACAGGTACGCTGCTCCTCAGACTGTCTATAGGTTCGATCAAGCAAAGTGATGAACGAGTACCAGTAGTACTGTACCCCAAATGAGACAGACAGTGGACCACGGGGGTGGGCGTGCAAATAGTCCCTACAGTAGCCTAGGTTTTTACCTGTTCACAAACGCGATTTTCTTCATCTTCGCGCGTGAGATTCGAATCTTAAACGTTACGTCTTCGTTGACACGCTGTCATGTGGGCGTCTCTCTCTCGCAACCGCTCATGTTCGGCAAGAGGAACCTGGCTCTGGCGTGTATGTGGCTCAACCCTTTCCCCCCAAGTTTCAGCGAAACGACGTTCATACAACCTGCTAGACACACCCGCCCGGGTAAATGCGACGTTCTCGTTTTTCGTGCGGTGGCATCTCGATTACCGCAAAAAGTCGGAGAGATGGTGCCGGGTGCGATCGTTTGGGAAAAGCCGTGTATTTTGTCGCGCCCCGATGCAATCCGGTGCGATCTCTCCGACCGGTGCGATGCCCAATGAAATATATACACAGCAGTGGCCTCACTAGTGCTACGGCAGCATTGTTTACATGCACCCCATAACCCGCCCGGTGCCATCTCTCCGACTCGTACGGTACCCAAAACAATGGGAAGGAGCGAAAGCGGCAGCAGTCCGGCAGGAATAAGCAGTGGCAAAAAGCTGTTCGCTACCTGTACCTCGCCGGGATTCCCAATCCTAAGCTGGGACAAGCAGGAGGAGGTTATCGAGAGCATGGCGTTCAGGAGAATTGCAGGAATGGACTGTTAATGTTTATCAACCCGCGCACCCGTGCATCAACCCGCGTTCTCAATACTGCACCGCTGACTGCTCTTGTGCTGTAGCGCCGTCGAAAGAAGAGCGCATGTTCGCGGTACGTGGTCTTTACGGGGGTATCGCAGTTCCCCCCCCCCCCCCCCCCCCCCCCCCCCCCCCCCCCCC